GCGCCAGGAGAAGGTGATCAACAAGCTCCTCGTTTCAGCTGCCAAGGTGCCAAGAATCGCTCCCAGTGACGCTCAAGGAGGCATCGCATTGCCGTTCTCGTCTCGATCTCGTTGCGCACTGACTTCCAGATTTCGTATATGGATTGTTTCCTACTTGTTTTGCGTCTCATGTCAAGCATGGAAAGAATGTAGCGACGCCAAGGAAGGGCGTGTGTATTGTTTTCACTGACGATGTGGATTGATACTTAAACTAGCCTATACCCTCTCCTGTTCGACTATATATACAATACGTTTCGGGCATTTCTCGGTCAGTTGCCGACCGTGAGCAGCAACCAGATACTCGGCAAACCTGACGGAGCTGCCCAGCTGCGACCGGTTTTGTACACAGTGCCAAGGTCTCCACGCCGCAATCCCGGAACCATCAATGGTTGAGCCGCGCGGTGTATCCAAGGGCGACCCATTGACGGATGCAACGATGATGTAACCGGTCCCTGTGAACTGCCCCACCAAGGGAAATTTTCTTATCTTTTCATGGCGTGAACAGCCAGGGACATTCCGGTGTAGTTGTGCCCATATCGATAGCAGTCAAGTTTGTGCCAGATTGCCGAGACTCACATGGCGGGTGGCTTCGTGCAGTATCATGAACCGAGCAGTATGACCCCCATCGCAGGCAACGGAACCGCAAGCTAACGAGTGCAGTCGTTCAAATCCTAGTGATCATCTCGTTCTTTCTTTTTCTGTCGCTGGCCGAATGGCTATCGGCTAGGATTATTCGCGCCGGCATCATCGGCCAAATCGCGGTCGGCATCATCTATGGAAAACCGCTGGCCGACATCCTTGAACTTGAGTGGCAGCATACCTTTATCGCTCTCGGTTATGTCGGTCTGATCCTGATTATCTTCGAGGGTATTACCCCATCGGCAGGCTAGTCTGCACAGATTGCTAACCCACTCCAGGCGGCCTTGGTGCGCGCATAGATCTTCTCAAGCAGAATTTTGTGCTTAGCATGATCGGAGCTGCGACAGGAGTGTGCTTCCCGATTGGTCTCTCGTACCTATTGCTCTACCTTGGCTTTGGGTATGGAGCCGTCGAGACCTTTATCATTGGGGCGGCGTTGTCCGCCACTTCGCTAGGTACGAAGTCGGCCGATGTAGTGAAACTCGAATATCTAACCAGGAGCAGGAACGACATTCGCAGTCATATCTTCAGCGTCACGCACAGTCGACCTCGGTCAAACCCGCGTCGGCTCCGTTCTAGTCAGCGCAGCCGTCATTGACGACGTCGTGGGGCTCGTCATGTCGAGGTTATTCCCATTTCACCTCCCTCATTGATCTGGCACTAATCGCAACAGCGTGATCTCCGACCTGGGCCGCTTGAATTCTGGCTCATCCGTAAACCTAGGCTGGCTGATTGGCCGCCCCATCGTGGCCTCCGTCGCAATGGCAATTGTCACACCTATCGTCACAAAGTATATCTTCGCGCCGTTGTTTCGCAAGTACATCGAATATCACTTCGCGCGATACGACCACATCTCCAACCTTGTCCTCATGATACTCGTCCTGTGTGCCTTCATCTCCATCGCCGCATACGCCGGGACATCCGTACTTTTCGGGGCTTTCCTCGCAGGAACCTTCCTCACATACATCCCGAGCAAGCACCCAGAGGCGCCGTTCGTAGTCACGAGTCGCGAGGAGGGCGAGCGAGAGGCGCACAAGTCTCCGACGTTCGTGCATACCTTCGAGCGATACCTGGTTGACGTGCAGAAGTATCTGATGGAGCCGCTGTTCTTCGCGAGTGTAGGGTTTGCGATTCCGTTTGTGCAACTTTGGACGGGCATGAGGATTTGGCGTGGAGTGTTGTTTACTCTGCTGATGGTCTTTGCAAAGGTTAGCTTTCCACTCATCGATTATAAGCTGACTACACACCTTCTAACGATGATTTTAAGTTCATTGTTGGGATATGGGTCATCATTTGGCAAGCACTTTTTAACTCAAAGGGCCGGAAGCAACTGTCGCGCGGCCAAAAGAAAACTCAACGTAAACAACCACAGGACGAGGAATCGCATACCCACGAGGCTACCACAAATTCCAGGGACAACGATGTGTCCCAGACAGGGTCCTCCGAGAAGCAGCCTCCCTCACAGCTCAAATTGTCTCACAAATCCACCCGCACAGTCTGGCTCTCCGGCCTCCTGCTCGGCTCTGCGATGGTCGCGCGCGGGGAAATCGGCCTCTTGATAATCGAGATCGGATACAATGAGACCTCATACGTCACGGAGGACGGGTTCATCACAGGCGTGTGGGCGATTCTGCTTAATACGATCATCGGGCCTGTTAGCGTAGGGTTGCTCGTCAAGGCATACGGAAAGCGGATCGGGGAAGGTGAATGGGGGTTGCAGAAGGCTGAGGGTGGGAGGGGTGCCGACAACAATGGTCACCACGCAGAGGGTGGTGAATCTGCTGCTTGACAGCAATAGTGGCGAGTTGAAGCAGGTACGATCGAGGAGCTGTGACCATGTTGCAGTGATGCAAATCAGAGATCGAAGGTTACTTCCCCAAGGAGTGGCCCCGGTACCTGAGACAAAGAACAGGGTCGAGGGTTTGGCAGGAAGGAGGGCAAGGCCAGCAATACTTACGAAGCCTTAAGAGACTTCCAGCGTCTGCTCAAAGATCAACATATTGATGCTTAATCGCGGGGATTATTGAGTGGAGCCCAGTCAAGTGATTACATGACAGGTTGTTTGGGAATCGTCTTGCTCTGGATTCCTAGCTAGGTTTGAATCGCATAAGAGTATCGCCACAAGCCTGGAGCTCTACTGGGGGGATTGTGAGATTGTGAGATTGTGAGATGGTAGTGGGTTTCCAATGTTGTGAGCCAAAGGGGTTCCACGTCTGCGCAGTAAGGAAGGTTATTTTGAGAGTTAGGGAATGCTAAAGTGAAATTAGAAATCGTAGCGAATGTAGTAATAATTAGCGACGTCTGTATTTCGAGATAAAATAATAACGAACATCTCTAATTGCCGTCTGGTAGGGGCAACATTCATCATTGTTTCGGACCTGAGTGAGCTTCTGGACGACCGCGTCATCGACCGCGTCAAGTGCGGGTCGGCTCTTCACATCCTTCCACGGTCCCATTTGCTGGACTACTCTCCTCGCCGATCTTGCTCCATCGCACGATCGTATGCCTTCCTTGGCTTGGTGGGTGTCATGACCTGTGCTTGCAATTTCCGTTCCTAGGTGGCGCGACTAGAAAGCTGTTGCTAATCTTAGATATCATTGGATGGCGCTAACGGACACCCGTTACTTCTGGAGAATAAACCATTCCTGACTGATGGGTCCGCTTCCGAGGGGGTAATAATGATTGGACAAAGGCTTCCCTCCCTTAAACCCGGCTCTTTTCTGAAGGCTACAAGTCATCTTTCCCCATTGAGGGGAAAGATGCTTATTTCAACTATTCTATTTATGTGAGCTGCTATTGCCCATGAATTTTAAATAATATACTCAGGGAAGCCTTTATTCCAATTCGTACCATAGACTGCGCGGAAGAACCGACGCTGGAGAGTCACTGGGTTCCTTTGTCCAGGCAGAAGAGCAATCGTACCCCGGACCCTCTTTCACAGGACGACAGGGGGTACGGTACGATACATCAACGCCTGAAAATATATACTTGAAGAGTGAGACAATTAAAGGCGGATAAATATTATTGAAGGGTATTTTTTCGAGGCTCCCAACCCATAATAGCCTGCAAGCGTGGGATCGGGAGTATGTACTCTTCGTAAGCTACGGAAGACTGCGTGCAGTAGAGCGAAGGTGATATGGCTCATAGAGCTAGGTACCCAAATCTGGGAACGGCGATGGGCCGAGGCGGATCACGAGACCGGGCCCTTTACTGTCCCGCGGGGACCATAGTCCGTGGTGGCTCATGAGCCACTGCAGACTGAGAGCCCGCTCAGGTGCCTGGCAACCAACTGGTATCTCAAGGGGCCTGCAACCGAAACTTTGATAAGACATTGATCTTGCTATTGCTTTTGTCCTTAAATGCCGCCGCAAATTCCGCAGATTCCCTGGACGTGTCAGAGGGGGAATTTATTTTCTGCATCTAGTTCGCCCCAGGGCAAAGAAAGGATGCCCCAGGGCAAAGAAAGGATGCCCCAGGGCAAAGAAAGGATGCCCCAGGGCAAAGAAAGGATGCCCCAGGGCAAAGAAAGGATGCCCCAGGGCAAAGAAAGGATGCCCCAGGGCAAAGAAAGGATGCCCCAGGGCAGTGCCTGCCCTGGGGCATCCTTTCTTTGCTATGGCCGCTAAGCGCCCATTATCCCAAAGCGCCTAATTTGACCCAGGTGTGATATTTTTTTATTTTTGACATTGTGAATGTCCGACGGTTAAAAATCGGGGGCAAAGAGGGCGGGCGTCTCGGAGTCAGTGAGATAACGGGGTCGCGACCAGGTGAGTGTAGAGTATGGGGAGGAGTTAGGAGGGGAGATGTAGGACAGCAAGGACGAACTTATACAGTCAGAGGGGCTGGCGAACGGTGATGATGAACCAGGCGAAGCAGTACTCCCGCCACAAAGGCCTCTTACAACACTTCCGAGCCGAGCATTTCGATGATCGTCACTGTAACTACTACAACGAGTCGATGGGCAACAAGATGTATTGGCGAAGACACAACGTAGACAAGCATCACTAGAACTCAGATACCTTGGGACGACGCTCATGATCTTTGAGTACATTAGGGACAATATTCATATCCAGGAGCATATTTACATTAGATAAACCGTAGAGAAGTTACTGTAAATGGTGCATCCAAGTGCGACCGTAGAAATGAAATCCACATTCAATAACGTCTAGTTCTAAGACCATATACATACTTTACGTAAGGGGACAAAGTCTCATGTCATGTTTGAACGGTTATTTAGTGCAAACGAGAGAGGGTTATGTAAATTGACCTTGCGAAGTCAGCCAGAGTCTTGATATGACATACCTCAAAGCTATTTAGGTGACGATAATGCTCCCCTTAGATCAGGGTCGAGAAAGCCCATAGTCTGTCTACCATGCCTCGGAAATCGTCTTGGGTGAAAAAGCGTCGCTCTGAAACCGCAAAGGCGGCATCACAGCAGAAAAATAGACGGAAGAACACTATCTTCAAAAGAGCGGCAGAATATAGCCTGGAATGCAAGGCTGATATACTGGTTGCTATCCGGATTAGAAAGACTGGTGAGATCTATATCTTTGATTCTTCTACTGAAGGAAGATGGCTTCGGACGTTAAGAAGATTAGTAGGTGGCACTTAAAGTTTGGTAGCTCACTTAATAACCTCGCTGACGTCACAGGATGAATGCTACCCTTGTCCAATCGTTGTGGCTCTGGAGGATATCTTCCTGGAATCTAAATAGAGAGTGGGTTGAGGGAACATGTAATTCTGTCCTAAACGGCCAAATTATCTGAATGAATCTTGCACGGCAATGCTTTCCTGTGCTCTGGCGTGATATACCTGGCCGTGGGGACTACTTCCTTCTTAGGCCCTCTCGAATAATATTGAGAGCTCTAAAGGAGGTTAGCCCTCCTAAACCCGTAAAGCAAAGGAAGCTGCTTAGACTAAGATGACTTATCTGGTCGCGCAATGATCGCGCGATCAACTAGTTTCGCGTGGTCTGGACCTTGAGATAATCGCACCTTTCTATAGCCTTGGCGTAGGCACACGGAGGTACTGTAGGCTTACCCCAGCACAGTGTTTCGAGGCGGCCATTGAGGATGACCTCAATACGATCTTTATGCACTTAGGGGGAGAGCTCCCGATGGATGAAGACACAATGAGGTCGATCGAACGAGAGGTGGAATTATAAACCAGTAATACCGTTCTCCTTATGACATCCGAGGACCTATGAGCGCCTCTCAAGAATAGATTAATGGATCAGAACTCTGCTAGGTCTGATTTAGCAATATGTGGCCCATCTCGAGTCGTTCTTGGAAACATGAACCATATCATCCTGAGGGCGCCCTCCCAGAGCAGTTTACTACCGGAGAGGCTTTTCCTATGTGCTGATCCAGAATATGTAGACTGTCTCGTGTACGGGCTCATAAGCAGATCCTTATAGAAATACATTCATAGTTATACCATCCTATGAATTAAGCAGACTTAGAAAGCGTGACTTAGAAGTGTTCTCCTGAAACGGTGAGGGTCATGAGAGGTTCCTCTTGTGAGGAAACCCGCCACGTGAGGAGCTCCATAAAAAAAGCTAGATAAGAGGTGGTACGAAATGTGAAAGAGTTCATGATAAGGTATGCCTTCGAAGACACTCATCTCAAACCTGGTTTGATCACAAGACTTGCCAATCTATTTCTTGGTCCTAGTCCGTCGACCATCACGGTAGACTACATACTCGAGAATGTGGAACTCTGGTTTGTAACATCGGAAAGAGTACTGCGGATTTCTAATCTGGGCGTCATTAATGAAACCTTAGCGCCGCAGTGGTTGATGAGAAGCACGCAACATCGTCCTGCTGAATTACATGCGATCGAACAAGCCGCGTCGCCCCTCAAGGCAACCATGCGGTCTCTCGGATCGTCCCTTATCCCAGCATTCCCTTGCAGGCTCCAGCAACCAGTCTCCACGCCCAGCATGATGCTCCATCATTTGACGGCAGTGATGCATCTTGCGCCCCTCAAGCCCTCGCTGCCCAGTTCCAAAGTCGCCATTCCGTGTGTCCCCCACTACGTTCGCTTGGAAACGGACGACTGAAACGAGCCTGCATCAAGTGCAGAGAGCAGAAAACAACAAGCAACGTCATCATATTTTTGTGTGCAGAACGTGCCTATGACCCCAAAATATTATGCTCTCGACCAAACAATCGTCTGCCCACATTGTTACGGCTCTGCATGTCTACAGACCATTCCAAGGTAATTGAGTCTTACAAAAGCCCCTTCGCGTTAGAATTCCACCTCGCGCGCGATCGACCTGATCCTGTCTTCATCCATCTCAGTACTTTGCTGCGACCCTGTCGACCCCAGATAACCAAAAAAAGATCCTTTGCTTAATTAATCCCACCGTGTCATTATTCGCCGCGCGCTCTCCCTCGGAATTCGTGCCACCCTTGATTATTGCAGAATGGTGCTCGCCTGTTTCCGCTTGTTCCGCCTGCGACGTGTTGGACCGCCACGCCTTTGACGCGAGTCCTCCCATTGACACCCGTCCTCCCATTGACGCCTGTCTTTCCTTTGCAGCGATAAATTCTCTTTTAAATAATAGTCTCCCCGAATGAAATTCCGCTACAGTCACTTCTCAACTAGTTCGCCGTCCATCTTCCCAGGCTCAAATAGATAATCCATGCTGTCCTGCAAGAATTGCCCTCTCCCACCCATTCTTGCTTTCTCGAGTTTATTTACACCAACAGGGTACCGTAACATACAAACCGTAACCACCATGCTCATGATTTGACGACTTTCACCCTGCGATGGGACCACTGATGAA